CACCACCACCACCACCATCATCATCATCCCAACTCCGTGGATTTCCCAACTCTTCAGAGAAGGTTACAGAATATATGGGAGTCCACTAGAGATGGGTGTTCCTCTTCTGGTTCTACTGATAAAGAACAAAACCACCCATTTTTTATTTTGGACAAAATCAAACAAATGGTTTTTTTTTAAAAAAAATGGGTGACATACATTTTAGTAGACTGAGTCACTGATCAAAAGTGTTGAGGAGTTTTAAAAAAAGTCACACCATAAGACCTCCCCCTCCATCTGCAGGATCAGTATCCATTGATTCACTGCTTGAAAATACAAAATTAAAAATCCCAGAAATATGTATTTACAGTGTGCCTCGCAAGACGATTTTAATTCGTTCCGCGAAAATCACTGTCTTGTGAAAAAATTGTCTTGTGAGGTTCCCTAGGTGAGGCACCATAGGGATCGCTAAAACCAGTCGTCTTGCGGGTTTTTTGTCCCCCAAGGCAATAGTCTTGCGAGGCACCACTGTACATTAACAATGTTAATTGGTTTTTAAAAAATCGCTATAGGAAAACATCGCTAAGCGAAACAGTTTGTCCCATAGAGATTCATTGAAAACCGGTTAATCTATTCCAATGGGAACGGATTGCCATCCTTAAGCGAAAATCCCCATAGGAAACATCGCTAAGCGAAACAATGTATCCTCCATTGGAATGCACTGAAGCCTATTCAATGCATTTCAATGGTTTTGCGATGTCCGTTTTTGCAATTTTAAGTGTGTCTTAAAAGGTTCAAAAACTGTATTAATTGCTTGGGATCGTTAGTGCACCTTCTAAAATGTGTGCAAACTTAATTTGGCTTTGTTCTGACTCTTCGTTAATTTTTGGTGAATTTCTTTTCCCCCATTGAAATGCATCGAACCTGATTTTGACAGCTGTCAAAGCTGCAGTTCAATGTTTTCCAATGGGGGAAAATTCACCAAAAATGAATGAAGACTCAGAACAAAGCCAAATTAAGTTTGCACA